TGCCATATATTATGAAATAAAATGTACCAACTCTGTACAGCCACATATACACCGTTATGAAATTGGATGTACCAACACTATATAGCACATATACACCATTATGAAATGAAATGTGCCAACCCCGTACAGCAACGTACACACCATTATGAAATGAAATGTACCAACCCCGTACAACCACATATACACCATTATGAAATGGAATGTACCAACCCCATACAACCACATATACACCGTTATGAAATAGAATGTACCAAACCTGTACAGCCACATATACACCATTATGAAATAGAATGTACCAACCCTGTACAGCCAAATATACACCATTATGAAATGGAATGTACCAACCCTGTACAACCACATATACACCATTATGAAATAGAATGTACCAACCCCGTACAGCCACATATGCACGATTATGAAATATGATGTACCAACCCCGTACAGCCATATATACATTATCATGAAATAGGATGTACCAACACCGTACAGCCATATATTATGAATTAGGATGTACCAACAGCGTTCAGACACATATACACCGTTATGAAATAGGATGTACCAACCCCGTACAGCCACATATTAACGAAATAGGATTTCCAACCCCGTACAGCCACATGTACTCCATTATGAAATAGGATGTACCAACCCCGTACAGCTACATATAGACCATTATAAAATAGGATGTACCAACCCAGTACAGCCACATATACACCATTATGAAATAGAATGTACCAATCCTGTACCCCCGAATATACACCATTATGAATTAGAATGTACCAACCCCGTACAGCCACATATACACCATTATGAAATGGGATGTACCAACCCCGTACAACCACATATACACCATTATGAAATAGGATGTACCAACCCCGTACAGCAACATATACACCATTATGAAGTGGAATGTACCAACCCTGTACAGCCACATATACACCATTATTAAATAGGATGTACCAACCCAGTAGCCACATATACACTATTATGAAATGGAATGTACCAATCCCGTACAGCCACATATACACCATTATGAAATGGGATGTACCAACCCCGTACAACCACATATACACCATTATGAAATAGGATGTACCAACCCCGTACAGCAACATATACACCACAATGAAATGGAATGTACCAACCCCGTACAGCCACATATACACCATTATGGAATGGAATGTACCAACCCAGTACAGCCACATATACACTATTATGAAATGGAATGTACCAACCCAGTACAGCCACATATACACTATTATGAAATGGAATGTACCAACCCCGTACAGCCACATATACACCATTATGAAATAGAATGTACCAACCCCGTACAGCCACATATAGACCATTATGAAATAGAATGTACCAACCCCGTACAGCCACATATACACGATTATGTAATATGATTTAGCAGCCCCGTATCGCCACATATACACCATTATGAAATAGGATGTATCAACCCTGTACAGCCACATATAGACCATTATGAAATAGGATGTACCAACCCAGTACAGCCACATATACACCATTATGAAATAGAATGTACCAACCCCGTACAGCCACATATACACGATTATGTAATATGATTTAGCAACCCCGTACAGCCACGTATACACCATTATGAAATAGGATGTGATATTTGATTTTTCCATATTTTTCCTTCAATTTAGACCACAATAAATATAATTTTCCTTCAGCTACAAACATGATCTTGATTTAAAAAAACAACAAACATATCTGGTCACAATCGATAATTTTTAGTTAATATGTTTTACTTGCTGGAATGTATTGGAAACTAATACAATGCAACTGTTGTTGTAGACATATTTCACAGAATAGAACACTGCAACACTATTAAACACATTGTCTTGATGTAGACGAGTGTATACTAGCCCTTATACTATGACACATAATTTCTTACATTTGAAATACATCTGTATTGCTTCTCTGAAGAGTTTGAAATATAGTTGCTATATTTAATGCCAAGTCTTTCAAACTTTTCCACAATTTTAGGGTCCAGCTTTGGCAATGTATCTCTTACATCACATATAACGGTTTCACCATCATCTTCTTCATGCGGCGGAACATCACAATAAAACATTATCTGCAATAGATCGATATAAATATTAGAACAGCGCCCTCATACAACGAAACACTGTCATGAATTAGAAGTCTAAAAACAAGCCGCCCAAACCGACACTGTTGTTTGGGGGGGGGAGGGGGGTAGTGTAGCGATTTATGAACAGACTCCAAGATTACTGGGGTCCGCTTCGTCAACTGACGCCATATTTACAAATTATCTATTTTTGGCATAAGCGGATCAGATTTGTTATGCTAATCTCTACCTACAAAACAAAATGGAGTTTTATAAATTTTATTATAGTATGTCAGTTTATTTTATTATTTTATATTGCTGCTTATGTTTTAAAAATGCGTGTATGTGTCCATGTTAATAAAAACAACATTATCACAGCAAATTAAACGCATGTGCAAAATCAGCCGCCCTAAAATGACTGCAATCTAGTAATGATTATATAGTTTAATAAAAATTATATGATATTTACATACCTTCAGTGGGTAATGAGTGGTGTACGCCATTTCATTGTGTGGTTCTAGGGTAAATATCGACTTCTCAGCATCAGTTGCAGTTTGGACATACTCGGCCACCTCGTGTCTTTCTCCACCAGCACCTTTATAACTGCCGAACTGGTAACCAAGGCATTTTGAAAATGTCGAAAAATCATCTACACTGTGGAGTGGAAGTCCCTTGAATAATATCGTTCCAAAAACATGAAGTTTCTCGTCAAGAACAGCACGTGTCTTGGCGGCCCACATCTCAATGTATTTCGGCCCGTCTTTGTCAGCAAAGATGGCATCGTAAACAGCAGGAAGGTTTTTCCGTGGAGGAGCCAGAAATTCAGGAAGTTTGTTTCCAACGAATGTTGAACCCGGCAGCCATTTTCTTCCAGCTATACGAGGTGGTGTGGAGTTACCACGATGAATGAACTCTGTGTATTTGAATCCTGGTTCTGGTGAGAATCTTTTCGCCGACAATGACAAACATCGTGCCACAACTAAAGCTCGGCACCTTGGAATTGGTACTACTAGCATACTCATGGACATCTTGTACAATGAATGTATGAAGCAGTGAGTCCAGCAACGTAGCTCTTTAAATCTTTACCAGCAAAAAATAAAATAAAATGTCAAACGTAAAATTAGTAACATCTCAGTAAATGTCAGAAAAGATATTTTTTCAGCATGGCCTGGTCGACAAACATGATGTGTTTGTGTAAATATAGTTCTCCATGGCTCAGTTTCTGGCTTACAGTCGCTGATAATGACCACCAAAAACAAAAGTGGGACTTTAGATTTAGAAGTGTAGTTCAAGTTCAACGTAAATGCGACGGTGGAAAAAGAAAAAAAAAAACGCAAACTAAAAGTCGAAGGTTATCTGAATCAGAAAAATAAAACTGATATTTATGTCATCATATTAATGACTCACATCATTTACACAATTATTTAAATAATAATAATAACAATAATAATAACAATAATTATACATTGTATTTATTCTTGACAATAGTCATCTATCATATTATTTCATTGGAAAGAAAATAGAGAATTTAAAGCGTGGGAGTCGTCACCTGCGCATGCGCCAGATGGCCATAGCGTGTCATTGTATACAAATAAGCGTCTACCCATGAGCCTTTATGTTTTTAGCGTGTGTTGTTATCGTCGCTTGGGACTCATTTTTCGCGGGTGCACAGGTGACGACCATCCCGCTTTAACAAAAATGTTTCACTTCAGGCGTAATTTAGCACAGGTATACTCTGACCCACACTCATTGTTTGGTAGGATACCCAGTGAACAACCATTTTTAGTAACAATATCGTATAGTTTTATTGTATTTAAAAAAGTTTAGTTCAATATTTGCTTGTAATCTTTGCACAAGGAATAATTTTAATTAGCACATAAACACTTAAAACAATATACGCCAATCACATCACCGAGTGAGCATCATTAACCTGTTTCCCACCAGACTTTTCTCCCAATATTTTATTATATTCCTCAATTTTTTGGGAAATGAATCCTAATTTTGGAGCCAATAGACACAATTTGAGTCAGTTTTCATTTTTTTCTCAAACAAATTGACTATTTTTGTTCCAATTTTTTGAATGAAATTGCAGACTATAAACGGGACTATTTTGTGAATTTGTGATGAAAGGAAGAAACAGCTGGTGAAAAGGTTAAAGTTTAGCCCTCTTTTAGCCTAAGTTTAGCCCTCGTTTAGCCTAAGTTTAGCCCAAGAGTTTAGACAATAGTCAGGTATGCTAATTAGCAAATAATTAATAAAATAAATCGACAAGATTTGTCGATTGATTATTCGACCTCGGGTAATCATGTAACACGAATACATTACAGGTAGACTACTGACAGAGTATTTGTAAAGATTACTCAGGGTTTATACCAAAATAATATCATCTGGCAATTCAAGCTAGTGGCCTGGGTTAAATATTCAAAAACATCACTAGTTGCACTTGCAGCACTTTGATGAAATGGCTGTTTTCATTGAGTTGATTTTGAAAGGTCTGTTTTCATTGAGTAGATTTTGAAATGGTTGTTTTCATTGAGTAAATATTAAAATTGCGTTTTTCATTGAGTAAATTTTGAAATGGCTATTTTCATTGAGTTGATTTTGAAATGTATGTTTTCATTGAATTGATTTTGAAATGGTTGTTTTCATTCAGTTGATCTTAAAATTGCGTTTTTCATTGAGTAAATTTTAAAATGGCTATTTTCATTGGGTTGATTTTGAAATGGTCGTTTTCATTGAGTTGATCTTAAAATTGCGTTTTTCATTGAGTAAATTTTAAAATGGCTATTCTCATTGGGTTGATTTTGAAATGGTCGTTTTCATTGAGTAAATTTTGAAATAGCCGTTTTCATTGAGTAAATTTTGAAATGGCTATTTTCATTGAGTTGATTTTGAAATGGTCGTTTACATTGAGTTAATTTTGAAATAGCTGTTTTCATTGAGTTGATTTTGAAATGGCTGTTTTTATTGAGTTGAAATTGAAATGGCTGTTTTCATTGAGTTGATTTTGAAATGGCTGTTTTCATTGAGTTGAATTTGAAATGTCTATTTTCATTGATTTGATTTTGAAATGGTTGTTTTCATTGAGTTGATCTTAAAATTGCGTTTTTCATTGAGTAAATTTTAAAATGGCTATTTTCATTGAGTTGATTTTGAAATGGTCGTTTTCATTGAGTAAATTTTGAAATAGCCGTTTTCATTGAGTAAATTTTGAAATGGCTATTTTCATTGAGTTGATTTTGAAATGGTCGTTTTCATTGAGTTAATTTTGTCTCAGCAATACCGCTCGGAAAGCAGTCATGAGAAACGTCACGCCAATCTGGCGAATATAATAAATAAATCTTGACCCATCGTATAAATACTACTATCGACTCAATGTGAAACCACTTGTAATATTGTGCCTAATTGGCTTGACTGTTAGCTGTTACGGCTGGATAGCCAATCAGAAGTCAGCTTGTTCACAGACAGCATTTTGTATATATGTTTCGACTTAGCTGCTACTATCGCATAGACCCGTATTCATTTTAAACTTGCTTCAGTATCTTTAGTTTTAAGTGAATAATGCACACTCACATTATTCATAAGCAAACATGTTTTTTTCTTTTTTTTCTCACTAATTCATTTGTAAATGTTTATATTCAAAACAGGTACTAGCAAATCATATGCAAGTTAAGTCATCACAATAATTACTAATTCATGGTTATTTACACCCACACATAAGGACACGAGACAGAGACAGAGACACAGCCAGGAATTAACAAATTATAGAATTTCAAAGTATTTTATAATTTGTCTCCTTTTCCCCAATAAGAATTCAGGTTTATTGTTTTTTTTAGCAATGACTATGTTTTTTTCATTTTTTCAATGAATAATTTAATGTTTGGTTTAGAATTACTGAATCTTACGGTATACAATTCGTATATTCCGAGTAACATTAAGTGCTTGACAATTTACTTTGACTCCAAAATTACATATCACAACTTACACATTAATGCTAATGGAAGCAATATTTATCCATTTATATTGAAACCCTCGTAATTGTTCTTGGAATGTTATCTGTTTAATTTGTTGCCATGCTTCTTTCCAGTCAACATGATCTGCATATCCCTTCTTGGAAAACGTGCTCACAGAAGTGGCTTTCTCGAATTTAGAACGTTTGAAAATAGTATAGTAGTCATGACATTTGAAAATTGTATATTATAGGTCTTGTAAGCATGGGTAATTTATTTTGGTTTAGTTCCAAATTCCATTTTCTAAGGATGGCATTCATTAAACCGTAATATGTAATAAAATCAACCTTGACATTAAATTTATTTTTGAACTGAATATGTGACAAAATCGGCCCACATCATCGGTTAGATCACATATATACTCCCATCCCGTGGTTTAACCAGTTACGATAAAATACAAATTTTCACCAAAAGCACATCTTTATTGTTCCAAATAATGCGCACATCTGAATTAGGTTCTGTACGCATTTAAGATTTTCGGAAATCAATCCGGTAACAGAGAATGTCTTTATTAAAAGTAGGAATATTGACTGGTAGCAAAGCTCTCGAATAATTACAATTAATGAGCCAATCAAGTTATTCTAATGTATTGAAATAATAGTTAATGATAGTAAATAATAGGAAAATAAGACCATAGTGCCTACGATTTTTAATATTATATTTAATAATATTAATAATAATTTTAAAGCTTTATTCATCAGTTCTAGATCTATGCTGTTCACACCACCTTGTGAAAAATTATTTTTAATAAGGTGCTTTTTCCTTCGCCACAAGAACTTATTTTCAAACGAAACGAAATGTTAACGAAATGCCGAAGGTATTTCAAGCGAGGGCCGTAAGGCCCGAAAGCCTGTTATAGCATGTAAACGCCCTCATGCGACATTGTGTGGAAATTGCCATGTGACGTTCCTGCTGAGACTTCTCACTCAAACTACGTCATACACCGATCAACCAACCAAGAGCGAAACGGGTCAGCAATAAACAGGAAGTACTAGTAGTTTGAATTACAAGTCTGAACAGGAACGTCACCGGT